TAATAATAATAATAATAATAATAATAATAATAATAATAATAATAATAATAATAATAATAATAATAATAATAATAATAATAATAATAATAATAATAATAATAATAATAATAATAATAATAATAATAATAATAATAATAATAATAATAATAATAATAATAATATGAAGCGTTGCTGTAGGATAACAACCGCTTCGAATAGCTTGAACTCGAAATTCTTTTACAGTTCGAATTATTTTACTCCCACGGAAATTTTTTGATTGATCTTATCGATCAGGAAGTTGATATCGATTGAGCAATTATCACTTATATTTCTGAAACTGAAGTCTAGTTTATCGAACCATTCCTCAAAAATTCAAAGTTTCATTCATCCATTAGCATGAAATGAATTTGAAAGTTTCGATATAACTCACGAATATTAGTTGCCAATTGCTTTTAACTCTTATTCCATCTTCCACAAACCTTCCCTGCTTCTCCTTTAATAAATTGTAAACGCCAAAGTGAGCAACTTTTTCTGATTATTAACCTATAATTTAACTTTATTAGCTTTAAAAAGGAAGTGATTGTAAGAATAATTTTAATTTGATCAGACACATTCAGTAATTCAGATTAATAATCAAAGGATTGGAATTACTCTTCCGATGGGAAATATATGAATGGGAATGAAAAGTGGGAAAGTGTTGGAAATTCAAAGAAATTCTTATTTAAAGACTTATTTGAGTTGAAATCCTGAGAAGCGAACGTTGTTTTGCATATAAAAATACTTATATCTTAGCCAAACACAACAACTATGGTTTTTTTTTTCTTCGCGAATTACAACAAATCTCTACATGAAATTTCGCTAAATTAATTTCTGTCTTTTTTTTTATCTTTGCTCGATGGTGGAAGAGAGAGAGGAATGAGATATATATGTAAAAGATGAAAAGAGTAAAAGAGGAATTGTTAAAGAGAGAAAGAAAGAGTAATTTGCTTGCGGCATTATTTGATAAATAATTTACTCCGACATGATTGTAGTGATACGTTTGCAGCAATACCTATCAATATTACTATAAATAAGCAACGATAATAGTACCAATACGACATGATTTATTAACAAAATGAGATTTTCTTCCTTCTTCGATATTTTTTTTTCCTTATATATTCATTAAGTTGGGTGTAAGGTGTAATTTGTTAGGAAAACTTGTTGCAACAAACCAATAGAAAAGTATTTTCCATTTCATAAACAACTACCTGTCATAAATGAAACAGAATAACTGGAACAGATTGAATTGATTTGTGAATACATAGTTATCGTTTAATTTCACTTTCAAATGGTTTTAAATAGGATCAATGGTATTAGCATTGATAAATGTACCGAACAACTTTTGTTGTAGCTTCAATTCATTAAGTTACTTACAGATAATTATGGGCTGTTTTTATAGCACAGATAACTGGCTGAGAACGAGGCTTGTTTTAAAGTCTAAAGCCAAAAAAAATTTAAGAGTATAAGAATCATTAACGATTACTAAGAGAGTCATATTATGATTTATAATTCAATTGAAAATGATTACCATCGTTGTTCACTGCGCCTACATAATTTATAATTTTATGGGAGGAATGGAAGGCAACAAATCTTATGAGAATTCAATTTTCTGTTGAATTTTTAAGGAGAGTTAACTACAACGAGAGTGCAAGAATATTGAAAAGAAGTAAATGGTAGAACTGAATGATAATGATAAAGCATTAAGTGACGAATTATAAGATAAATCAAAAAATAAACAAATCTTCGTGAAAGTTCACTTTTAGTAATCTTTTCTTCACATTTTTAATAGCCTAGCTTTATTATTATTGGCCATTATCCTAGATGATCGTCCTCATAGCTTGGCTAAGATATTAGGCAAATCTTATATTTCTCAATATAAACTATCTATTAATACGGGAAAAAAATTGTGGAAGCAATTAGAGATTTAATTACAGTGTGTCATTGCAAATGTTAGTACTTGATTAGAAGAAAGAGTACTTAATATTTATTTGGTCCTGATCCGTGCAAATTGCTTGTCCAAGGGACCTCAAGCCTTCAAGACAACTATCTTCATAATGAATTTGGCACAATGATTCTAGTTTTAGAAGTATGAAAACGGTTACCTTACTTTGGCTAAGTTTCAATTTCGTTCACATTTAATTCACAACAGTTCTGCAACTCGTTCTTTAATGGAGAGGTTAAAGTTCATGTTCATGTAACTCATTTTAAAATATCATTAATATGCTTCATAGTTCAGCCCAGCGCAAGTTTTTCAACTATTAAGCATCTGTCCACTTGTATTATTCCAAGATGACATTAGAGCGTGCGGTATTGTCCTGTTTCAAGTATTCTCTGAACAACTAGAAGTAGATGACGATATGCCATTTGGAAAGGACCTTTCCAGTTCCTACCATTGAACACCTCTTACAAAATTTCTTCCTTTCTCTATCAATTGTAGGTATATGTGTGTATATGTTTTGTGATATGTGTGCGTGCATATATATATATGTTTATGCGTATGTGTGTGTGTGCGTGTTTATACGTATGCGCGTGTACATGTGTGTGTGTGTGTGTGTGTGTATGTGGGTGCGTATGTGTGTATGGAGTGGGTTGTGTGCGTATGTGTATGTGTGTGTGTGTGTGTGTATGTGTCTGTCTGTCTGTCTATCCGTCTATCTGTGTCCATCGATGTGTCTACAGGTTATTTGCCAAATATTCGGTTTTTCAAAATCATTACAAGTAATTTATATTTTCTTTTAACATTAAGAGAATAGTAAGGAATGTGGAAGGAAGTCATCAGAAGTTGTGATCATTGTCCCATCATCAGTCCTCATGTTACTATTATCTTTGCAATCAATTCTTTTACCCTTCCATTTTTCACCCCTTTCTACAGATCATTATCATCTTTTGCAGAGAATTATTTGACATATCTGATGGCTAACAAAAATCATTTTATATACCATTGAAATTTGTCATTAACCGAGTACATAGATGCACTTATTTGAATGATCAGTCATGATGGCGTTATTTAACAGTGATATTAATACTCTTGCTCCTACTACTACTACTACTACTACTACTATTACTACTACTACTACTACTACTACTACTACTACTATTACTTCTATTGCTACTACTACTATGTTTTAACGCTTGGAATCATTGCTTTGAGATATTAAGTCTCACTCCTGCTAATTGTTTCAAATTAACAGCTTTCATCAGTGCAATTAATAACGCTGTCATTTTTTTGTTTGGCGTAAAAGAATGACAGTTATTTTCACTCTGAACACCGTCTTGCATAGCTGTCCAAAAGGAAAATTACATTTGAGCCAGTCCTCATCAGGAAGTGTATAAGTGGTAGCGGCGGTAATTGCTGATGCGAAGACGATTATATTTGCACGGAGCATTATTAGTAGCATTCTCCCATCAACGCCTTCCAAACATTCTTCTCTTCCTAAAGCACCGCCCGAATTCATTTTCAACTCTTCCACATCTTATTTCATTTGTACGTCCCTTTCCGCCGTCACACCTTTATCTTCCGCTCGAAGTATAGGCATAACATTACGCTTAGATCGACCGCCAGGTCAGTTGTTAATATCTGATCCACTTGAGTGTGTCCACTCTAAGCAGCACTTTCAGCAGTTGTCACTCGAATTAAAGCTTCATCAAACAATGTCATATATAAAGAAGCAGCTATTGCTGCAAGCCGTATTATTGTCCCTCTTATCACTTACAGTAAATGGTAGGTTTTCAATTACTACTTACTGAAGTGATTTTTCCTCCTTATCTCTATTGTCATTAATTGCAAGTCGCAAGAAGTGCTGTAGTGCACGAGGAAAAGTAGATTCATTGATTAGATGAATTTTGTTGCGCGAATGATATTTATGCTGCTAGAAGTTTTTAAAACGTTTGCAAACTTCCATATATTTTTTAATTTCAACTGAACTAACTCAAATTTAGCAGATATGAGAAAATGAAATTCATATAATTTTATGAGCAATTCCAATTTTTTACTGTGATTTTCGCAAAAGTACGTACTTTTGTGGAGTATATAAGAAGAATTTCGTTTTTGAAACAAAATATTTTTAACAGCCGTTTTTCACTAGCATCGTATTTTCTGCTGTAATTTATTTAAAGTCAGATATTGGACAATTTAAGTTTTCAAATTTTAACTTCTTTTTAGCAATCACCTTTTAGGATATAAAGAATTCTCTCTCAAAGTACTAATTTCTGGAAACATTTCTATTTATTATTGATAGAGACGAGTTATCTCGTTTGAATGTTTCTTTGTAGCATATCAATTGAAGGAATCAAAACAGAAACAAAGCATAATAGCAGAATTAAATCTTGTTAAATTGATAATCTGTTTGAGCTTAAGAATTGATACTCGAAATTTAAATGAAATCAATATGATTTGTGAAGTTTCGGGAATGAATTTCATAAGAAATGAAAGATGTATATCCATTGCATGCAAAACAAATTTATAGGTCAAATTTGTGCCCCCTCGATAAGATCGGGATTGCTCAGAGAATTACATAACCAGTCATCATAGTGAATTGCATGAACGAGTAACGAGCCAAAAAGTTTCCTCATAATATCTTTAAAATACAGGTCTTGAAAGGATCTATGAATATCAACGTTACGACGGATGGTTCAACAATCTTGCAAATCCTCACTGGGGTACTGTAGGTAAGTACCAAGTTCCTAAAAAACATTTCATTGTTATTGGTAATCAATCTTTTGCTTTGCCTTTACAGTAATCAGTTAATTCATACATAACTGTGGTCAACTGCGGTCAACCTTTAAAACTCTTAAATTATAAACATAACGAAACCAATATTTGAAATGTCATTAGTTTGCTGTCACTAGAACAAATCTTCTACCCTCATGATTTAGTTTTTGTAAAAGTATTGTAAACAGAGAAAAATGAATAATGTCTGTGGATATGAATTAATTTTTGAAGCACTTTAAAATTACATATCTTTTCAGTCTTGCAGAAAGCCTGAGATGAAATTACTCCCAAACCCAAAAAAATTTCAGGATCACGTTTGCACCGCGATGCACCAAGCCGGTATCAAGATGGTGTCTATATGCTTAATAGTAATTTACCGTCCGCACGAGCTATTTCAGAGTTAGTCTTCAAAGGTCCATCTGGAATACCAAACAAAAGAAATATCACCACTATGCTTGTCTTTTTCAGTAAGTTCTGAAATGTTTTAAATGAATGATATTAAGGAAAAATCAGTAAAAGTGCTGTTGTCCGATTTCTAAGCAACGTCATCAGGGTAGTTTTTATTCCTTTCTTTTTTAACTTTTTCATGAAAAATGCTCACATAGAGCTTTCTGGTAAATAACTGGTCGATTCGATTCTTAAAACGACTCTTTCAACTTCTGTAAATGTCTTTTTAAACCACTTCAATCGCAAAAAGAAATTTTCCCGAAAAGTGTTCCTTCATCAGTTTTTCTTCTTTTTTTTTTTTTACATTTCCACAAAGTGAACGAAGTGACAAAAACTAACAGTGGATGTGTTGTGCTCAGTCAGTTAGTCATTCATTTTTACAGAGTTTGTTGAAAAATCAAATCAATTATCGGACATTTAATTTTCTCTAAAATAAAGATCAAACATTTTGAAAAAAAATGCCACTATAGGAAAACGTACTTTAGTACGGATTAAATGTGGTTAAACAAAATCAGTTTATTTTGAAATGTATCATCTGCACTAAGTATATCAGCATGATCGGAAAAATGGACCATTCCTAGAATACGAAACTATTGAACTATTTGAAGGTTACACCTGGAAGTGGAAATAAGCGGGAGAAGAAAGAGAAAGTGGGAAATGTATCAAAGAAGAATTCAAATTGAGAATGTTTTGTTTCTACGAACAACTGGTTGCAGGCCAAGTAATTGCATACGAAATTATGCAATCAAATTTAGTTAGCTGCCCATTAGAGATGCATAAAATTCCGGTACCGCGCTGTGATGCTGTCTTCGATGCTCAGTGCATGGGCAAAACGGAAATTCCTTTTGTTCGTGCAAAATATGACAAGAGAACCGGACATGGCTTTAACGCGCCGCGTGAACAAGTAAGCTGTCTCTCTATTCCGGAAACTAAAATTTCTTATTATTCAGATTACAATTATAATAGTAAAGGCACCATTCCATTTCCTGCTTAATTGTTATTGTTGCTATGCGAATGGTCCTATAGCGGACAACATGGGTACAACAGCAATTAAATGCTCCTAAGGAACTGGTTTTTTGGTCATTAATTGGTGAGGAATGTTCGCGATGTAATTTCATTCTATCATCTGTTTGTATTAGACTGGTATGGATTGCATCCTTCATTTCCAGTTCCAGTATCCAGCAAGTTTACGCCAATAAACCCACAATTGTTCACTGATCCTTTGAATTTCTAGATTGTTATGCAAATTCATTAGTTGCCGAGAAACTTGAACAAATATCGACATGCACAGATGAAGAAAGATATATGAAAAAATGCAGAAATAAGGAGTTTGCATGTCACTGAATATCTGTTAAATGAAACTGAGCGTTTTGGTGTCGTTTTGGTGTTTTTGAAAAATTTGAGAAATTTGCTTTCAAAATGTTGTAATAAGAAGAGGTTTCCTCCTTCTTATTACAACATTTGAAGGAGACTTGATAACAAAGCGCTCCATCTGGCTTGATTTGTTCTTCTTAGCGGGAGGTACTATCTTAATTTCTGTGCAATCTTTTGTCTTATTGGATTAATTAATCTTCATTATTATTCGAAATCTTTGGCAATCGATGAAAAAGTTAACGACTTAGGTGCTGAACGATTATTCGGTTATTCAGTTTAACTCATCTACTAGTCAAATTCATAAAAATATCAATTATCAATAAAGTCGATAATTCAACCAATTTCGAAGAATAAGACCTTAGGGATTTGTCTTATAATATTCGTCTACAGGGGATAATCTCACTATATTCCGATTGCTTAGTTCAATGTCCGAAATTCTTCAATTGATAGGAAAACATAAACTTGAGCTGATTAAATGGCTATTAAGAATCTAACTAAATGAAGAGTCCTTATCAAAGATTCTTTTCATCCATTTATTGCGTCTTGCCTAATAATGCAATTAATTTAACTTTGAAATCCAAGAAATTGGAATTTTTCAATGAAAGGATTGTCATTGTTAGGATGTCTGGGACTAATTTGATCGGAAAATTTTGTTACTTTCATGGAATGCTTCAATCATGCATTTCATAAATATACAAATAATTTAAATAATGCATCATTGCAAGGTAAAAGGAATGAAAAGACGGAGTAAAAGTAACAATGGAACAATTGGTTGAATTCGACAATGGAAAAAGTTAGAAGAAGGAATTTTTTCACAATATTTTATATGCCGCATGATTGGATTTATTTCGTATTTAAAAGGTAGTAAAAAAGAAAATGAAGCATTTGTTGGGCAACTTTTTATATGAAAATCCGAAAAGGACCCTTTGTACTATCAGATAACTATGGTATTTGAATTGACTTATCTGTTATTAATTTCAAAATGAAATCTTTGTCAAACACTATGCCAAAATGAATTTTTCTCTCAGTTAACAAAAATGAAATTAAAAAATCGCTGAAAAATTGAAAAACAACAATTCATTTGTCCTATTCGTCATAATCAATTCAATGAACATTTTGTCTTCTCTTCTCTCTAATAGAATTTTTATATCTACTTTCAATTATCAGCCGTGAATTTTTTTTAATTAATAATTCAATCATTTTCTATTGATGTTTTTAGGCACTGATCTTTGATCTTTAGTGTGAATATTGAAAAATGAGATGGAATTTCATACATATTTTACAGTTCAGATATTACATTAAAATTAAAAGAACGAAAAAGTGGCACGTCATCTTCTCTTTATCAAGTATTATGACAAATTTAAATGACAGTCTAAGTTACTCCTCATGGCCACAAACATGAGACTTGATTGTCACTTTCTAGTGGAAATGAAATAAGTACTAATCAATCTTATCATAGCTTTTATCCCAATAAATTTATTCTACAACTAGGCAAAAATATAAAATTTTCAAAACTCTTATTGAAAATTTAAGAAATAAATCATTAGTACATCTAAATCTTTTTATATTCTTATGGAGAAAAAAAAATTTGGTTGATAAACGCGATGTTACTACTGTATATCGGTATAGAGATATTTACAGATACGGTAATTTAACAAACAATATACAGCAAGTTGTACCTTTTGAATGTTTCGTCAAGTTTTTAATGCTGGAATGTAATCACATTCATAAATCGAACAGATGAGAAATGTAAATTGCAATCACTGAACGTGTAAAATAAAATAAATTTGTGATGTCCCTCCCTCCTCCATAACAGTTTTGTATTTAGAAAATATGTTAGGATTAAGGCGTCATGTGAACGTGTAAAATAAATTTATGATCCTTTTAATTCAAATTTCTTGGTTATTAAAGAGT